AACCGGTTAGGGCTGGAGATTTCATATAAATATACTAGTATAAGTATCAGAAATCCATAGAGACTGGCTGGAGATGCCTAGATGGGAGATCTGTGGCTAAAATAAACTTATAATAACACAAACATCCTGTATGCTGAGCAAAAAGAAAAACAGAGAAGTTAGAATTCAAATGAATACTTTCTTTGGCAATATCACACATGTCTGTTTTTACTATTTGTATTTTTCTGGGGCCTTTTTATGTTTGGGCATTAAAAAAAAAAAAAAATTCCACCCAAAGAAAACAATAAACAAATGGCCTCTAAAGTGAGGTGAAGGGGGTGAAGGAAGCAAAAGAATGCTAAACACAGCAAATTCTTAACAGAGAATAATCACTACAAACATGTTTTAATGGTGAGATTTCTTTTAGCCTCAAACTCCTCAGTTTACAGAAGCAAACTGGCAAAACATTTTAATTTCTATAAGAAAAATGTCTATCAGCAGTGTAGCTAACCTGATTTTTATTTATTTCCGAGTTCTGAATTCACTGACTCACCAAATATTTAGGTACCTGCTAGACTCTGGGGATACCAAGATCAGCTTTCATGGAAGTTAGGTTATTAGAGTGGCTGACGGTAAACAAATTGTCACATCAGTACATGCAGCACTATATGCTCACTAAATGCTGTAAAGGAAAGTTACACAATGTCTTGGGAGAGTTTAGCCTCCTGATCAGGCCTGGGGGTGGTTTTCCTGAGGAGTGTGACTGAGCAGAGGCCTGAAGGCGGGTGGATTTAACCAGGGACCAGTCATTCATCACTTGCCCTAACCTCTGAGGTTTTGAAAATGTTGACAAAATCTGGTCTGAATCGCTATGAATACTCACGGGCCTCTGAAAGGCAAAAATTTCCAAGATCGTTATTTCTGATCTACTTCCAGAATACATTAGTTTCACTTTTAGTTTGAATCCATCGCATGGCAAACATCTGCTGAAAATACCTGCTGTCTCCATCTCTGGAATGTGCCAGCTGAGTCTACACAAGACTCTCTAGTTACTTTCCAGATTCAAGAGCAAACATCATAATCTGTGTAAAGAACCAAATCTAAAATTAGGCCAAATCAGAGACCAATGAACTCCGTGCATCAACCGCAGCAGCAGACACTTGATAGGTTTTTTTTCTGCTCTGAGAGAACTGTATTGGGGGAAATTATATAGAGAGGAAGCAGAAGCAGAAGCAGAAGCAGAAGCAAAACAAAACAAAAACACACAAGCCAACAAATCCATTGCTAGAAGAGGCTTTAGAGACAATCTAGTCCCAGGCTTTCCAGAAATAAAGAGCTGTCTCCATCTGAGAAGTCTGCACACACTGGGAGTTGGTGGCAGAGCTGGACTGAGAAAACAGGGCTTCTGCCTGGACCCCAGTTCCCTCCTGTTACAAACAGGCTTTCCTGGCTGTCAAGCTCACAGCAGCCTCCCTAATCCAATGCAAATATACAACTGGCCCCCAGTCAGGCCAGCTCTATTATGAGCAGCCTACTTTAATTGTCCACTGAGGACAACTCAGCCAGGATATTTCAGTACCACTTAATAAACAGGCCAGACACTTCCAGCACACTAAGTGTACCCTGATGACTTGACTTGGGACAGTAAACAATCACCTCTCATAAGTAGACTGGTAAAACTGAGTTTCCTCACTACATAAACACATCCATTTCACTTTTTAGGCCATTTTATATGAATATTTTATAATGAATAATTAAACAATGATACATTTATCAACCAGCTTTCTCTTGCTAACATAACATTAGGAAAAATAAGTGTTTTTGTTCTCTAGTATGACGCACATAAAAACAATGCTAACTGTAACTAAACTGGACCCTGTACAACTTCTGGTCCTAATTAAAAGGTACAAATGCTAATTACAAATCACTTTTGTTATTAAGGGAGAATGCTATGTAAACTATAGGTGGCATTTTCTTAATATTTTGTGTTTCAGACAACCCCACAAAAACAACTAAAATGCACCAACGTCCTTTTTAAAAATTTAAAAAGGAGCCTGAAACCTGGACATGTGCCCTGACTGGGAATCCAACCATAACCTCCTGGTTCCTAGGTGGAGGGTCAACCACACTAGAAGACTAAATTTTTTTTTTTAATCGACTTTTAGAGAGACAGGAAGGGAGAGGGAAAGAGAGAAACATCAATGTAAGAATGAAATGTCGATCGGGCATTGAGCCCACAAGCTGGGTATGTATCCCAACCTAGAATTGAACTGTACAAGACGATGCCCAACCAACTGAGTCAGAGCCACCAACAGTTTAAAAGTAAGTCAAAAGCCTAGATCACACCAATCCCATATAATAAAGAGCTAATATGCAAATGGTCATCACACCCTCATGCTGTCACGCCATAATGGCTCAGACACTCAACACTGGGGAGAGAGGAATGGGAACCAGCAAGGCTGCAGCCTGGGAGAGGGACAAACTTGCCTACCCTGCTGTCCGGCTTGCAGTCCTGGGCACCAGTGGCTGCACCTGCGGCCCAGCCCGTGAGAGGGTCAAGCTGCCTACCCCTCAGTCCTGGGCGCCAGAGGCTGTGCCTGCAGCCTGGCCCAGGAGAGGGATAAGCCGCCCACCCTGAGGCCTCGGGCACCAGTGGCTGTGCCTGCAGCCCAGGAGAGGGACAAGCTGCACATCCCACAGTCCCAGCACCAGCACCTGTAGCCAGGGTGAAGCCACCCTTCCACAGTCCCCTGTGGCTGTGGCTAGCCAGGGCAAAGCCAGCCTGGGTCCTGGGTGCCTGTGGCCAGCCAGAAGGAGGGAAGCCGGGTCCCGGGTGCCTGTGACTGGCCAAAGGAGGGAATCCTGGGTCCTGGGTATGGGCGAGGCAGAGGCATTTAGGGGCGATCAGGCCAGCAGGGAAGCAGGGAAGCAGCTAGGGACAATCAGGCTGGTAGGGGAGCAGTAAGGGGAGATCAGGCAGGGGAGTGGTTAGGAGCCAGAGGTCCCAGATTGTGAGAGGCAGTTGGACATCCCCTGAGGTGTCCCAGATTGGAGAGGGTACAGGCCCAGCTAAGGGAACCTCCCTGCACAAATTCCATCTATCTCTATCTCTATCTATTTGCATATTAGACTTTTATATATATAAAAGTCTAATAAGCAAATAGTCCCCTCAGGAGTTTGACTGGGAGACCAGAAGTTCGATTACTTGCTATGACCTATGCTGACCTCCAGGTGATGGTGTGGAATGAAGGTAGGCTCCGGCTGACAGCCAGAAGGCCCCCTTAGGGGACCCTACCTGTGCACCAGGACTTTAGTTTTTCAGTAAAATTCCAAAAGGATCTAAAATCAATTAAAATGATATAGTCTAACTAGATAGGTATATTCTTTAGATATTAGGCATGAATCTCAAGAATCAAAGTCAATTGAGTCAATAAAATAGGAAATTTGATTCCAAGTCTAATTCACAAACTGTCTCTATTTCTTACATGAATAAAATAATTTGAGAGTAGCTATTAATTCAAATATTAGAAAGCACAGGTAAAGACCATTTTATAGTAAAATTTAAAGTCTATAAGCATTCATTATACAAATGTATAATGTACTACAACTACGTCATTGATTAAATGATGCATTATTCCTCCAAGCTTCTGAAGATTTAAAAAAATATAAGGGTCATCAAAATAGATTTGTATCTGGAGGCCCTGAAATGATTACAAAATCATGATAAAAGTACACAATGAAAATAGCAAAATGTATTTTTTTACTTGATAGAACATCCAAGTGAATTGTAATAGTTTTCACAACCCAGCTTTTAAGTAAACACACACACAAAACCATTCTGATTCACATAGCCAGCTAAAACATCCTTGAACATGCAATCACTTGAATATTTTGCAAGACATTTTTAGGAGCACTAAGAATTCCAATATACCAGTTACTTCAGAAACAAAATCAAACATTTATCTCACTCTTTAAAGCTCCCCAGAAAGGCAAAACAGAGATTTCAAATGCAAATACTATTTCAAAATGTTTCTATCAGTCCTTGGGTAAACAAACAAAAATATGACATGCTAAAAACTCTTATGGTATATTGCTTATTCATCATTACTCAAAGTTTTCTCACTCAATTTTTCATGTGCATGGCAAATTTCCAAGCCAAAAGGTAATGAAAAAACATTAGAACTTAGACCAAAGTTACCATATTAAGAATTAGTTGTTTTTCTTTTCCCCTTTTTCCTTTTTTGTAATGCCACTGTAAGATTGAGGTCTCTTGTATATCAGCAATAACATGAACACTGGTTCCCAGTTTGGCTAATCCTTCAGAAAAGTATTACAGTCAGCCCAGAGAAGAAAACATTTTTCAGACTGAGAGGAAACCACATGTCCAGTTGTCTACCACTACTGATGGTTTTCTGGAAGTAAACAAGCTAAACTCAACAATCACGTGAAACATATCTGTGGGTCAAAGTTGGATTACACTGGCCTTAAAAGAGCTGCCTTACTAAGTTTTCAAGAGACTTTAAAATTTCTGCATGAAGTGGGACAGAGCTCTTTACTATATATTGTAATCTGACACTAGGCTGAAGAAGTTGACCAAGTTTAAGTGATCCAAGGGGAACTGTTTCCTGCTTTTAGTTAGAATGTCTACAATGACCTATAGTAACCTCCGAGGCAGAGGTTACCCAAGGGTATTAGATGCTACTGTCTGGGAGTCAATTGGGTTCTCTTTTTCTCTCTCCCTCCCTCTCTCTCAGCACTAACCTCAAGTATTTATAAGAATTCATCCCTGCTCTTGCATTGTGTATAAAGGCAAGAGAAACCACAAGCAGAGTTGGAAAATGTACCCAGCTCCCTCTTCACCTCAATAAAAGGGCTGTGCACAGAAAACTTCTAAGTTATCACCCCATTCACCCTCTATCAAACAAACGTGCCTGTGAATGAACATCTCTGGGAAGGCACAATGACCTTTTCTAGGAGAACCAAAGGTTTATTTGACATTGGTTTATTTAGCATCACTTTACCGAGTCTGCTCCTGTAAGATGAGATGAGGCTCCACGAAGAACTTGACTCTCAGTTTAAGCCGGTACGGGGCTAGCCCATCCATCTGCTGGGAGATCCGGTTTCTCAGATTTAGCCATAAACTTTCACCTTTGCTACCCGTAAACTGCAGTCCAAAATAATCCACTTCTATAATTCCCAACCGCCTGCACACCTAAAACAAAAATGAATGCAGCATGGATGAGCACATGGTCTGTGTAAGCCAAAGCAAACCTAAGGCCTCCATGTGAGTCTAAGGTTCCTGCCTACTTTTTACCGAGTTCAACAGCTTTACAATTTCTGTTGTAAACTGGAAGAACGAAGTTCTATAGCTCCAGTTAAGCTAAACCACTAGGGGAAGTAGGCAGGCCTGTCCTTCCTTTAATAGCTATGATGGCCAATGGCAGTAAAGAAAAACGAGTCCTCAAAGGTAGTCTATTCGAAAAGCTGAGGATTACCATGTTCCTTCTTATTCCAATCATCAGAATTCCCTTCACCAGCACAACTGACACAGCTGATTTGGCAGCTTAGTATCTGGGCACTTTTAACCATCTGGACTCAAAAGAAAAAAAAAAAAAATGAGGAAACACGCCACAAGTGTCACTAAGCTTTACAAGAGGTTTCTCAAACATCTTAGGTCTAGGAGGTTTCAGGGTACAGCGTTTCGCTTGGGACAAATCTGCTCTCTGCCATGCCAGTCTCCCCTGTTTGGAACCATTCCTCACTCTGAAGGAAGCGCCGCGCGCTTACAGACGACTGCGGAGCCCGTGGCCAAAGCCTATGGTCCTCGAATCCCCAGCAAATCCCGAGATGCAGGTGAATGGTCCATATGAGAAGCAGCAGGGCACAAGCGCCCGGCTTGTGTGCCAGGCAATCCGGGACCCGAGACCTCATCTGGAGATGCAGGTGTCATTGCCAGGCCCCGCGGGGGACCGAACAAGTGGCATCATGCACACACCTGCGGCAGGTGTGCTGGCCCGCCTTCTTCCGGGAAAGTGCGGAGCTGGGGGACTGGGGGGGCTGGATGGCCCGTCACCGCATGCGTCCTCGGGGGAGGGGGGGGCGGGGGGAAGGCACCATGCGCCCCTGGCGCGCCGGGATCGAGGCCGTACGCCCCACACCGCGGGGTGCAGGGGCAGGAGCCGGGCGCCCGGGGTGCTCCGTCCGGCGCCGCGCTCCGCCCTCCCCCGCCGCCGCCCCCGCAGCTCCGCCCGGCCCCTGGCAAGCGGTGCGCCCCAGCTCCCGGCGCCGCCACGAGGCCCCTCCACCTCGGAGGACCAGCCAGGTCCCCTGGTGGCCCTTCATCCTCACCTGGTTGAGGCAGTCCTCGCCGTTTGCTTTCGCTTCCACCTCCACCTCCATCAGCACCGCGTCCGGCCTCGTCACATAGCACAGCATGGCTGGGGCCGCCGCTGCCTTCGCGGCCGCCTCCTCTTTGGTGTGCGCCGGGCTGCCGCCTGGCCACCGATCAGAGCCAGGTGCAGGCTCGGCGAGGCTGGTGCCCTCGGGAGGCTGCCGCCCTGCAGACCGCCGCCTGCACCCTGCGGCCGCCGCGCCCTCCCGCCAGCTGGCCGCCCGGATCTCCGCGGCGGCGCCGCACTCCAGCAGCCCGACTGCCTGCGCCGCGGCCAGGGCTCCTCTGATATAGCGGCCCCGCCCCCTCCGGCTGGGGGCCCCGCCAATCACGACGGCTCCGCCCCGCCTTCGCCCCGCCTCCGCCGTCCCTCCAGCCAATAGCGACGCCCGCTCAGCCGCGGCTTCACCTCCCAGCGCCGGCTGAGTCCCCGGGCCGCCCGGGAGGGAGCTGGCAGCTTGCGGGCGCCGAGAGCGGCGGGAGGAGGGAGGCTCCCGAGCACACCCGGCGCCTCTGCCCGCTGGGCGACGCTGCACCAAGTGAGCCAGCGGCCGCCCTGGGCTCCGAGGCGGAGGACGCCTTTCTGTTGGGCTTGGATTTACAGCGATTGCACGCCTCCAAGCTGCCGCGGTTCTTCAGAAACCTTGGGTCTCTCCCCAAAAACGCATTTCGAGAGGTGAAAAGGAGCAACCCCAAGGCCTAAGGAAAACTATTTCCCCCCGGGATTTGCCAGTGTGTTGTCGAAGGCGGCATGTTCCTCATTTCAGACTTTGCAGTTGCAAAAGCAATCTGTGTATAAAAGTTTTTGCAACTGACCAATGAGCCATGGAGTTTGATCCAGGGCTTCTGCATGGATTCTCGCCAGTGTCTTCTCTTTACCTATTGTGCTGAATCAGAACACCTTGTTGGGCACTAAAGCCCTCTCTCAGGTTGCCCATTCTAGCTCACGTCTTATCTCCATTCATTAAACATTCATTAAGCACCAGCTGTGCTGCCTGGCCCTTCTCTCCTGCACCCAAATGTTAGTTATCCTCGTCTTAAAGCTAAGGGACTCAACTCCGCACCTAACAGGTGGTATAACCTCAGTAGTAGCTATTACCAATTAAAGGTCTACAACTCTTCATTCATTTACTGTTTGTTCCTCTCTGCCAACACAATGCTTAGCCTGGCTCGCTGGTTTCTTTAAAGGAAAGGAGAACAGATGTGGACCCTTTGAAAATTTAATTCATTTCTCTGAAGCTCAGTGTCTTTAACAGTAAAATAGAGACCATGATATCTGCTCTGCTTTCCTCCCCAGCCCTTGGCATTGCGTTTATTTCTGAAGTAGGGAGGATCCTGTCCTGTTGAGGGACATGTGCTCTCTCACCTATGTCTGATAGATACACCTCACAATAGTATGCTGCTGAGTGGCCCCTTCTGTATCAACTGTTGTTCCCCATTTCTTCAATTTCAGCTTACCGACCTAAGAAATTTATCTGGGAGATAATATTTGGGTGACTGTTATCTAATCTATGCTTAATCACTAGAAAATTTAGAACTGGAAGAAGAGGTAATGCAAGGTGCAATGGTTAATATTTTTGTTTATTGAGAGACTAAGCTGGTTAAACCAAAGCCAGCTAATTAAAAGCTGGCTAACTTAAGCAAAAAGGAATTTAGGGCACAAGTTTGGGGAGCTCACAGAATCAATGGGGATTAGAGGGGAAAATGAATAGAAAGGAAGACTTATTGATTGGCCAACAACAAAAACAAATAAACAAAAAATAAAACAAAAAACCAAAGCCATCTACTTGTTCTGTAAAGAAACTACTGTAAAAAATAAATTATATTTTTTGATTTGGCAGGCATATCTTAAATCCAAGCCCAGATTATGCTCCTGGTATAGTATGGCTGGTCCAGATTTTAGTTGTTTTTTTGAAATTAAGAAATATCAGATAAGACTAAGGAGAAAGATTTCTTAAATCAAAAGAAAGCAAAACTAAAAAAGAAAAAAAGAAAAAGAAAAAAGGAAAATAGCTTTTTGGAGGGGAGAGGATAACATAGGGGGAAAGAATACTCCTACCAGCATATATGGGAAATAGGGGTCATTGTTAGTTAAGGAATGAAAAAGTTAAGTTCGCTGCTGACTGGGTGGGAAAGCAGACTTGCTCAAAGACTTGATTGGGAACTAGAAAGGCCACAGTAGAATTACTTCCTAGAGGATCCCATCATCTGGTAATGCTGCTAGATGTCTGGAGCCAGTTTTAAGCCCCAGCTGGGCCAAACTCCAAAATAAGAGACTCTGAACTCAGACTGGGGAGTGGGGGTGGGGTTAGGGGATGGGGAGGGGGTATTTGCATTGCATCCAGTGACTGAGGCAGTTCTGAATTAGCCAGAGGGACCTGGAGGGTATTAAGCTAAGTGAAATAAAGCAGTCAGAGAACGACAAGAATCACATGATCTCACTTATATGTGGGGTTAAAAGAACAAAATTAATTGGTGAACAAAATAGATCCAGAGACAGAAACATGGAACAGACTGATGAATCCCAGAGGGAAGGTGGGGGTGGGTGGTAGGTGGGAAGAGATTAACCAAAGAACTATACTAATATACAAAACCCATGGACACAGATAATAGTGTGGTGAAGGGTGGGGGTAGTGGGAGGAAGGGGTCTATGAGGAAAAATGGGGAACTGTGTATTACTTTTAGCAATAAAGATAAATTTTTACAATTAACCAACAAAGTACAAAGGTCAGCTCATGAAGGTAAATTTTTAAAAACAGAAATCATAACTAAGTGGTAGAGTCTGCTGAGCCAGTTCAGTGCTGGCTGATCAAACACCCCCAAGCACCACAGTTGTTCTCTAAATCTCAAATGCTAGGGCTAAAGACTGAGCACTGGATGATATTTGTAGACTGTGATGCAATGGTTGTCTGGCTTAGAATTTTTTCTCCTTCTTGAGCCCCAGGTCTGATCTGGCCGGCTGGAAACCTACCCTTGCTCATTCCTCTCTCAACACTGCACACACTACTGCAGAAACTCTGTGCTGGGTCCAAGGAAAGTGCTCTTATAATTCATTTATAAGAGCATGGAGGGAAGAACACTTAATGACTGTCTGAAAAACTCTCTGTCTGCTTTCACAAGGTATACAAGATAATTATTCTCATAAGCAATGTTTCATTTTGCACTAATGTGTTAGAATGTATCCAGTGAGCTGAAATCTCTCATTTGAAAGACTGGACTTGTGAAATTCAGAAGTAATTTCATTTGACCCTGGCTACCATCAAAGAAGAGTGTTTCATTTTCAAAACTGGCTGTTTGAAGAGTGAAAGAAGGGATGGAGCAAGAACAGGCAAACTTCAGAACATTCCAAACAGCATTGTCTTCATTAGCAAACAGTTTGAATGATTTTTATTTTTCTGTGAGAATAGTTCATGGCAGACTACTTGGGAAAAAATGAAAAATACAAAGGAGAATTATACCTGTAATTTCATAAGGTATTTCTAGTTCATATTGATGTTTTACTTTTGTACTTTGCATGTAGTGCTCTAAGTTTTGATTACGACATAAACAAATACAGCACATGAACTTCTGGAGACATATCAAGACAGCAAGAGTGTTATGAATACTAGCAAAGAGTGTTATGAATACTAGGAAAATTATAAACAGAAAGAATGATCACCACAAAAAAATCCAACTTGCACTGTTTCTCAGCTGTCTTCTTCTTTTTTTTTTTTTAATTCTGAAATACCACTTCTCTCTGTTTTACTTCTCACTACCTGTATGTCTTGAAATGTCAGATTTTACTTCTTTGGCACATGTTATTTAGTTGAGAGATGCTCAGAGCTGGGAAATAATTTCCAATTTGGCACATTTTGTTTAACAACAAAACAATTTTGTTTAACACTTTGATACCTGTCTTTTGCTTATAGAGATGATCAATAATTAGGCCTGTGTTGCTACAGGTGCTTCTCAAGTCTGGTGATATGCAGGTGCTGTTCCACTCACAATAGGGTTTGCTATCATTCTCATCTTGAATGAGGTTGGGTGGATGCTGGGGATGCAATTGGGAGCCATGGAAAAGAAGATAGACTCAATCTGCCAAGCTCAGACTCACAAACCTATTCTAACTGGTAGGTGTCTTAACCCACTGATCTGTGATGACACCTATCCCTTCCCCTAACACCGTGTCAGAGCATGCCTTCTGTAAGGAAAGGTGGGGCTACATACATTGTGAGAATGGGTGTGTGACACAAAACATGGTGGTAGAGGTGGGAAGGGGGTTTTGAACAATTTTCAAATCAGAGGAACATTATGGAATACCAACTTTTCAGGGAGAAATTGAACAACTGTTAGAAACGCTGTAGCAATACCAAAAAGACATGAAATCAGCTACATATGTAGAGAAAACCACAAGCTTTAAATAAACAAGATAGAACAAGATAAAACCATGAGTGTTTTGGAACTAGATAACTTCTCACTAGACTTGACTTACATAATTTCTGCTTGGCTCATTTATTGTTGCTGACATTTGTAGAGTTTGTATCACTTAATGTGAAAATCTTACCCCTCCTACAGTTATTCCATATTTTGTCCTTGCTGTGTGCTTTGAGATTATGATTCTGTGAAAATGACTTGACAACAAAAGTTGACTTTCTTCCTGGCAATCTCTCTGGCTCTCAGTAGCCTGTGCTCTGTCATTTGCTCTTTCCTCCTTCTTCTCTCACCTGGTTCAGAATTCTTGGAAGAGGTTCATTAGGAATCCATCTGCCCCCAGTGTCAGAGAGGCAGCCTTGTCTTTCCCTTCTTGCCCTGATGGGTCTGGACTGAGACCCTCTTCCTATGTTTCTGTCCATGTCCAAAAGGTCCAGATATTTCAGCTCTTAGAGTCCAGGAAGATAGCAGTGATTTGGTAGGGGCTGTGGGGATTTCCCAGATGGACACAAGCTGGATCTCACGCTCTTCTTTGGGCCCAGACTTCTAGGAGAAAAGAAGTCTGAGCATGTGGTCCTCGATGGTTGGTATGAATCTGGCGTCCACCAAGAGTTAGGCCCGCATGAGCACTGGA